CTCTCCTCTCTCTCTCTCTCTCTCTCTCTCTCTCTCTCTCTCTCTCTCTCTCTCTCCCCCTCCCCCTCTCTCTCTCCCCCCCTCCCCCTCTCTCTCTCTCCCTCAAATGTAGACGACTCTATGTACACAACATAGAGTAATACTTCAGGTTTTGCACGGTTTTTTCTACCTCTCTTAGTTTTTGCAAGCATTTTACTGCAGATTCAATCTGCAGTGAATTTTGTCTCAGCATTGAATCTTCAGTCAATCTGAGCAAAGCAATTTCTACTCCTATTGTCGCTAACGGAGCGCGCTGCGGTCGGAGAGTCTTGCAAAACTTACATATCCATGCATATAAATATAAATTCAGAAATTCTATTGCGTGCATATTAAAATATATCTTTTTAAAATGAAATATATGTAAAATATGATTTATTCTTAATATATCAAACAAAATTCTTCATATATACTTATAATGTGTGGATAAAGTTTATAGAAATTTATGTAAAAACCTTTGAAACTTTTGCGCAAAATTTATATAGTACAAGCTCCAATTTCTGCACGACTCTGGGCCCTGGGCCGCAGCCGTTAAGCAATCGAAGACGAGAACAGAAATTGCTTTGCTTTGATTGCCTGACGATTCAATGCTAAGATAGGATCCACTTCGGATTGGATGTGCAGGAAATTTATGGGAATAGAAGCACTTACTTAGAGAAGAAGAAAAACGAGTCAGGGTTCAGGTACTATTGTATAAATAAACAATTATTTTGTGTCATAAAATATTAACTTATATATTAGGGTGATATGTTTATTTCATTTTAATTAAAACAATCCCATGAAACTTATTGTAGTTATTGATTTCTGAAATCATTGTTTCGCATGTCATTGTATTAAATAATTTTATACGTAGATTATAGTGTAGATTTAAAATTTTGTACATACATAACGCATAGAAATAGACATTATTTTACTTTCATAATATTATATGCATGTATGAAATACTTCTATCAACATGATAGAAAAGCGTAATAATATATTTAAAAGTTTTACCTATGTGTTGCATTTGTAAAATTACAATTTTTATTTTTGTTATAATCAAATACAACTGATAAATGGTAGTTTTAGTGATACGATTATACAAACTGAATAAAAATATAAAATGTAAATGACAAATATCATCCATCGTGTAAATAAAAAATTCAAATGAAGTAAAAACTGTATAATAATCTATGTAAATATAATTTATATTTAAAAAAGAATCGTTATATGCAAAGTTGAAAACATGAATTTGCATTGTTTAGAGAGTTGGTAATCCTGGGAACTGTGGAAGACCACATGGAAAAGAAGAAATCATAAAGGGGCAGAGGGGCACGATAGATCAGAAGCGCCACAAAACGGAGTTGCGGATGTTTCATAAAACACTCGGCATGGATCGAGCTCCATGTTCGCCCGTGAAAGTGATGCGGTATCTCCGCGATTAGGGGATACAAATCTTCTATCCAGTGAAAGAACGTTAAATAGTTTGTATGTATTATTTTGCGAATCAATAGTTGGAATCGGTTATTCTGACGGTAGTAAGGTTAGTTCAAGGGTGTGTAATCTTCACGCGTGTCGGAAAGTAGCGTGGCGAAGCGATTGGTTTCGCCGCAGTGTAAGAGGAAAACTTTATAAAAGCCGACCACGGCAGTGGAAAGTAAGAAAATTTGCTCGGAAAAACATATCAGAAACGGAAAAAGTGAGAAGAATATTAAGGACGAGACCAAAGATAACGTTCAAAGTGGTGGTGGCGACAGCAACAGTGACGGCAACTACAGCGGTGGCGCAAGGTGTGAGGACGAGGTGAATGCACGGCGGCCGCGGTGTGTGCCAGTGGTGTGCGCGCTCGTCGCTCGTGGAAACCCGCCAAAACCCGCGGCCGCGAACAACCACCAGCAAAAGCAGCAGCAATAGCAACAACAACAGCAGTAGAAGGAAAAGGAGAAGGAGGAGAAGGAGGAGGAGGAGGAGAAGGTGGAACAGCATTAGCAATAGTAGTAGTAGTAGTAGTAGTGGTAGCAGCAGCGGCAGCAGCAGCGGTGGCAGAAGCAGCAGTAGCGCGCGACGTTGTGCTGTTTTGACAACTTTCCGCCGCGTCGGGGCGTCGCGCCGTTTTTCTCGCGGCGGCGGCGGCAACAGCAGAAACAACGACAACAGTATCGGCAACAACTTGTTTTAAGAAGGTTGCTTGCAACAGCGGTAACGGCAGCGACGCTGCTGACCCCTCAGCCTACACGACGACGACGGCGGTGGCGACGGCGACGGTGGTGGCGGCTGCGTTCTGTTATTATTTTGCCGCGGTGCTTTTGACCCTTCGAACCGGGCGAGTTCATTGCAGCGCTTTCGCGGGGGTGTTAGCCAGTTTTATTACTCCGGCCTTCTCCGTCCGCAGCAGCAGCGCCGACGGCGCCAGAACATGATGTGGTATATGCAGCATGTCTACTAGTGTACGTACTCGATCGCACCAATAATCAAACACGTTCAACCGCCTATCTACAGGGCGAGAAGTCGCCGACAGGCTCTGGACACTGACCTTCGGTGTATATCTTTAACGAGCCGATCGAAAAGGACTATATCGGTAACGTTGCGACTAAGGACGCGACTGAACCACGTGATATACCTGTCGTTGGACCGCGTCATGCAAAGCATGCTCGACTCCCCAATGGCCATAACCTGAATTCAGCCGATTTGACCCGATTAAACCCGATTCAACGTATTCGTACATGAACGATCAAGCGTACGAACGAATGATTGAAAACATTAGGTAGCCATTCACATTTTTCATCATTCCTCATGTTTGCGCGTTTTATCCTGTGGAGTTACATACCGAATTAAGTACACGTTAGAGCATTCTGAGAAAAAAGACTTCAATGTTCAACGTGTTTCGGAAGTGTATTGCATCTTGATGATGAATATCTAATGGAAAATAAATAAAATTTCAACAGAAAGAGGTCAGCTTGCTTCCTTATAACAGGTGATTAGGTAGACTAATGGACGGAGATCGTGATATGCCTACTGTTTCTCATCCATTTGGTGTTCTCTCATACCGGTGATAACTTGAAATAATTGTGTTGTGGTGTACTGTACACATAGTGTCATTGATACAGTGTCGGTATAGTGTCAACCGTTACGTGTAAGGGTCGATTCACATCTACGTGCTAGGCTCGGGCCGTGCTCCAAGGCCGACCAAGGCCGAATCATTCTTACATTTGATTTACATCGGAGTGTTCACACTACGTGTGTCGTGCTCGTGGCGTGCCAGGCCGCCCGGCACCGTCCAAACGTGTTCACACTTGCAGGCAGGCCCGGGCCAGGCTTGCTTCGCCCGTAACCAAAACAAAGCGAGACGGAACTACGGAACTGGTACGATGTGGACAAAGTGCGCAATCTTTTGTTCTAACCCTGCAGGCAATAAACCCGGGAAAGCATTTTGACTTGACAAAGCATGCAAAGAAAGGAATCTATGAAGGCTAGATGGTGGCTCGCTTTCTGGTGACCGTCTGTGGGTCATAATTAAATAAAATGTTAAATTCTGGAGAAAGTAATGGTTTTTCGGATTAACTTGGTTTTGTTTGACGAACAGATAGTGTCGAAAGGGAATTTCATGATTCTTTACGGCTTTCAACGCGAAACATGATGTATACCCAGTTATTCATTTAACAAATACATTTTAAATTGTACAATAAAATATAAATTTTAATGTAAGATTCATTTACACAAAGACTAAAATGAAAAATCGGCTATCGATACATAGAAAATTGAGTGGACATTCTTCAAAACTCAGTATCTCTTTTAAAACTTGGACTAGCGACTAGAATTTTTTTTTAAATGATGGTGGGTTTTTAATTGATCGATCTTTAATTGTTTACAGCTTATTTCAAGGTCAACTGATTTCGATGAAATTTTCAGTACGGTTACAAGATCTACAAAACGCATTTTATAGGCTCAGATAAAGAAGTTAAAAAACATGAGTTTTTTATTTTTTGTTGTAACATTTTAAAAAAGCATTATAGTCATTGTCTAATAGACTAGTCCTACTACCATTTAAAAAAATTCTAGTCGTTTAGACAGTTTTAAAAAAGATACTGCGTTTTAATGACGTCTCAGATGACATTTCACTGGTTTCCTAAAATATTTAAGTTAATATTAATATGAAAAGTATATTTATATTTTTCATAAAAATCAACATAATCTTACAAAAATTATATCGTGTTTGATCTTATTTTAATCAGAAAAAGCTTACGATTGCATTGAAAAAAGTCCCATTAAGAAATAGTAAAAAATAAAGAAGTTACACATTACGTTATTATCTATCCTTCATTTGCTGTCCTTTTCTACGTTTGGAAAAGATAAAGTCGAACTCCAAAATCTCGGTCTAAGACACTTCAGTCCCGAGGTCATCGGTCCTGCCTGACACCATGCTCGCACGACTAATGTGAACACTCTCAATCGAGCACGCTGCTAGCACGACCCGAGCCTAGCACGTAGATGTGAATCGGCCCTAATTGTCTAAAGGTGGTGGCGTGGGAGTCCGACATTTTAACCGTTCGTATTTACGAAAAGATACAAGTGTCCACGTGTGAAATACGGTCGGTACTTCAGGGGCGTGGGAATCATACGTCGAGCTTACATTTGCAGAACATTTTTTAGTGTTTTTCACAGATAGGAATTTTATCATATGTGCGGTTAACATTTGATTTTGTAGTCACGAGCTGTTTGTTTTTCCATTATCGCGACCACACTGTTGATTACTAAAGGGAAAGGTGTCAAGTACGTCTTTTACTGCGATTCAAGAATATCAAGGGAAAATAAACAATGGACACTCTGTGCTTACGTTAACTAAGAAAAAGGAAAAATAAAAGATTTTTCAAAGGTTATACGTACACTGACAGTTCAACGGCATTGTTGAAAAAAATACTTTATCTGTGCTTTGTACTGCTTTGTGAAGTGTTTGACAGTACATGACCAAGTGCGTGACAATGAAAAATACCTGGTGAGTCGAAATTTTTCTACATAATTTTTACATTTAAATATGGTCATTTGTTCTTGCAATACATATATTTGAAATAGTTATTAGGGACAAAGGGGAGAGAGAAAGGAAAGAAAACAGGATGGCGTAGAGAAGGGGGGAGGAGGGAAGGATAGTAGATGAAACGAGAAGTATATTTTTCGTTTCTACTTTGAATTATTATTAGTAAGCTGAACGCCTTTGTACACAGAAGACTGGAATTACTGTCATTTTTCTCGTTAAAACATGAGATTACGTATTCTAATGTTGGAATTTCGTGATTCTGAAACGTACGTATTACATCAAGTAGGTAAATGAATTCAATATAATGCACATTATATATGATATTTTCTACTGTGGTCGCATTTATTTATGTAAATTAGTTAATTTTTGTTATTGACCCCTCTTTTTATAAGTTTTCAACTGCTAAAAACGTGCAATTAAGAACCATTATACATCATACGACGTGTATCTGTTTTTAGGTTAGGTTAGTGATCGTTAATACTTAACCTAANTTTATCAATTAAGTTACAACATATCTAAGTCATATATTGTCATTTAATTAAAAAGATTGTAATCTCATTTTTGCAGAAAAATTATTGTTACGAACAATGTCAAAGACCAGGTGACCAATTCTTAAAATATTATATTATCAAGTTTTACTTATATTTATNTATCACTTTGCATATTACATTCCGGCTTGAAATATTTAAATAACTAAGTGCAGGCAAAAGTTATTTTAAAATCACAAATAGGTATTTATTGATGAATATCTTTTCTAGATTAGTTGATATCACAATATAGGATGCATTTCTAAAATTATGGAAGTGTGGCAAAAATTTGGTAACGAGATGCATCTAACAATATTTGTCAAATATGGCTGAAGCTGTAATTCACATGCAATGTGTCAGTATTTAAACCTTTAGTATGAAATATTGTTTATTAGTATTTATGTTTGCAAATAATGCTTCATAATGTAGATATAAAATTAAACAATTGATATAAGTTTGCGTTATAGGTTACACGTCACAAATCAATAACTTATGTCGAAGCAAAGTGAAGAATAAGAAATCGCAACTATTAAAAGAGTGTTGGATCTGTTTTAGCATATATATAGAAATGTTTGTTATATTTTCATCATAAAATTGTTGATTTATTCTAAATTGGTTTAGGCAGAATTTGTAAGAACTTCGCTATAACACGGAATGACTTGTTTCGTTCAGTGAATTAAAAGTAGTTTTAGAAGTTTTAAGGAAATAAGTACTACTAAATAGTGTT